TTTGGTGGCTTCCCACGATTTTGCCTGAAAGGTAATTGATATCCAATAGTTTTATCCTCTAAATGCACAAGTCTAGTAGGAGTAGTTACCTCAAGGATATTCTCAGGAGATTGGTCTGTTGGTACTGTTGAGTTAGAGGGGGGGTCTTCATCTTGTTGTTCTGTATTGTCTGTAGGTGTGAGACTCGGATCAGAAATATCTTCGTATGGATCAGGTGGGTCAGGTAATTGATCGCTATGAATGGGCGATTGGTCGCTTTTCGGCAGAAAATAATCTTGTGTTCCAAACTCGGGATGATCAATCATTTCTGTACATAGGAGAATTTCTTCTTTTTCCAAGTTGCTCTAATTCTGCTCTTCATTTCGTATCTCCCCCTGAAGCGTAGAATTGGATGATGGGTTATGGAAGAATAACTCAGATTCCAGAAAGGTCACATCCAAAGTGACATATGTACGTCGGGTAGGAGGGTGATAACAACGGTAGCCTTTCTGATGAGTGGCATAATCCACAAAAACACAACGAAGCGCACATGGATCAAGTTTGCTACGTTGATTTTTGTGGAGATGAACGAAAGCCACACATCCAAAGATTCGGGGTGTGAGTACCAAAACAGAAGGCAGAGGTCTGTGTTGCGCAAGCACCTGTAAGGGAGTTTTAAAAGTCAATACACCAGAAGGCATGCGGTTGATTAGGTGAACTGCAGTGACAATAGCATCATCCCAGTGATGGCGAGGAACATGAGCGCCAATCAGAAGTGCTCGGGCGGTTTCAAGAAGATGTCGATTCTTTCGTTCAGCAACACCATTTTGTTGCGGTGTCTGAGGACAAGTCGTCTCATGGATAATTCCATGTTGTTGGAAGTAAGTCTGAAAGTCATGATTGACAAATTCTCCACCATTGTCGGAGCGAAGAATCTGGATTTGAGCATTAAACTGAGTTTTCATCTGTTTGTGGAATGATTGAAAACGGGAAAACACTTCGTTTTTATTCTTCAGCAAATAAAGCCATGTCATCCGTGTACAATCATCTATGAATGTGACAAACCATCTAACACCAGAGGGAGCAGTGATAGGTGAAGGTCCCCAGACATCAGAGTGAATTAACGTAAATGGAGTAGTACACTTGTTCGTACTCAACGGGTAGGGCACACGGTGACTCTTAGCCAAAATACAAGTATCACATGTGAAGTCGGAGTCCTTGAAACCTGAGAATAAATCTGGTATAAGATGCTTCATATAACTAAAAGACGGATGTCCCAATCGACGGTGCCACAACCAAATTTGCTTTTGTTTGCTATCAAATGGATGCGTCACACTGTTAGCCATGCCAGGACT